CACATCATGTCATCTCAGGTCACTTTATAGATCCACATCAACCAGATCATCCAGTCAGATTGATTCAAAGTTTTCTATCTAAGGAAAACCAGCTGATTGCATCGACTCATTGACTCTTCAGCAATCCTGCAGGATTCTGCCTGTTTACTGAACCTGGATCTACTTCCTGACTCGGACCTGTTTTTCCCTTCTGTACGTCTTCGGATCTCTGATCTGCTGTTGGAATCCCGTGATTCTCTTCAAGCCGGTTTTGGCTTCTCCTTCAGGAAAATCCGGCCGTCCTTCGTCTGCGTGAGTTTGGTCTCCTGCTTGTTCTCCGTCCTTCGGGGCGTCAGCATCTGGGACGCTCTGGGCGGCGCTCGCCGTATCTTGTTGACTACCTTGTTCTATGGGGATGGACTGAACCGTTAAACCAGGTTAGTGACTCACGCGTAAATAATCATCCTCCATCAGATCATCATGGTCGCTAACCTGTGTTTCCTTTCTGCACAGCTTTCTGTGATAGACACTCCAGCTGCTGCTACTGCAGATCAGTTTCAAATAATATAATTATCCATCCATCCATCCATCATCTTACACGCTTGTCCCGAGTGGGGTCACGAGGGGTGCTGGTGCCTATCTCCAGCTGTCAATGGGCGAGAGGCGGGGTACACCCCGGACAGGTCGCCAGTCCATCGCATTATATTATAATAATTATAATATAATTGCTTTTTAAAGGTACACTATGCAACCGGTGGTGATTTTCCAGCGAGGCTCCCCCCAGAGGGCGAAAGTAAAAGTGCACTGTCGTAAATATGCTCAGCTGTTCTCCTGGTTTCTCCATCAGGCCAGGCGCGGTTGTTTTGAGCTTAGCAGACAGGTGAATGCAGCTGGCGCGACAGAAGCAGCGAGTTTACATGCAAAGTCAATGGTTGACGCGCGTCAAGGCGCAGCAAAAGGTCCTGCGGCGCGTTTTGAGCAGCAGGCCCAGCGCGTCTGAGCAGCTGAAGCAGCGCGTCGGGCGCGTTTAAGCATCTGACGCGTGTGACGCGCCGCAAACGCGCTGCTGCTCGAGATGGAAAAATTTTATTTTTGCTGCTCGACGCGCCGCGTCAACCAATCAGAGAAGCTGATCTGGGAGCTGGCTGGGAGAGAGACACAGCGCTGATGACACAGACCGCTCTGATTACTCCTCTGAAACAGTTTATTGACGCCTAAATTAACTTAAAATGCAGAAACCTGCCAGCAGAATATGTTGGCTTTTATTATCCTGCTGCCTGCAGTTTGGATTATTTAGATGAAAAACACCTACCAGCCGCCGCCGTGAACCGCGAGGAGGCGACCCAGCCAGAGGCTGCTGATGATTCCAACTGTCGGCGCACCGCTGCTATGTGGGGGTCTGAGCGGCTCCGACAGAAATAATATTGGAAGGCAGGATGATAATCTGGATGAACTGACTGCACTGATTACGTTTTCAGGTGTATTTTCTCACTTAAAAACATATTAAAACTACTTTATTCCCACTGATCACAGCAAATATAGCTGCAAGGCAGAGAAAGGATAGTGAAGCTCCGCCCAACGCGCGTCAGAGCCACTTTCGGACCGCGCAGGCAGAGCAGCAAAGCTGCTTCAGCCGCGCGTCAGAACTAACTGGTACAAGCAGCAAAAATGAAGCAGCAGATGCGATTTTGCTGCTTTTGCTGCGTCCGGTGTGAACGCAGCACTGCACAAAGATCGCCACTGTGCTAGCAACGAGCATGCTTTTAACTGGGGGGTGTAGCAGTTCTCGCCGTAAAGCAAGACTGACTCTCGCGAGACTTCTGAGCCTGTGGGTGCGGGTCGGTGCTCCTGCAGTTGCAAGTGCGGTTTTTCCCCCACAGACCACCAGGGCGGCCGAGAATACCTTTGTTCAACCTGAAATGACTCATTTAATCATCCAAAACGTTATGGAACACATTAATTAACTGAAAAATGTTGCATAGTGTGCCTTTAATAATCCCACAGTCTGCCTTTCCTTGAATACCAACTCCTCCGCTCTGAGTCATGACAGCAGCTATTATCATCATTATTTCTTATTTAAAGCAAACCTCATTCCTCACACTTTTAATTTAATTAAGGTTTCAGGTTGAACCTGTTAGAAACTATCAGAGATGGGAAGTAACGAAGTACAAATACTTTGTTACTGTACTCAAGTAGATTTTTCTGATATTTTTACTTTACTTTACTACTTATTTTTATGGCGACTTTTTACTTCTACTTCTTACATTATAAAAAATTGGCTCGTTACTTTAGTTTTGAATCATTTCAATGGAGTTACCGTTATTATTTTTCACGTCATCAATACCAAATTCAATCTAATTGGATGGGAATCTACGTTGCATTTGACGCACCACTACAAGATGAATCGACAGATTCGGCGGTATTCATTGGCGGCAAATCATTGCAGCTTGGTGGCGGTGGCGTTAGCATAGTAGCATGGACGACGAGATGATTGAAAATGAACACAACGGAGATCTAGTCCTATTGGCAGACATCCATTTAAAATGTAGGCAACGGCATGAAAAAAGTGGTTTCTACTTTTACTTTTAGACTTTAAGTAAATTTACAAGCCTGTACTTTGTTACTTTTACTTGAGTAAAGAAGTTTAATCAGTACTTCCACTTTTACCAGAGTATTTTTTAACACAAGTATCTGTACTTTTACTTAAGTACGGAAAGTGAGTACTTTTGCCATCTCTGGAAACTATGACTCTGATCTGAGACTCTAACCCTAACCCATCCTACTGCACAATTTTTAAACTACTAATAATATCTGCTCTGAGTTTCTGTCATTAGTGGAAGTTATTAAATCTATAGATCAGCAGCGTCCAGATTGAGTCCTAATGGCCGCTATCCGCCATGATGGATGAAAAACAGCAACAGAGGATTAAAAAGCTGAAAGGGAGGGAAAGTTATAAGCACAACCCCCACCCCCCCCACCCCCCACCCCCCAAAAAAATGCCTTAAGCTAAAGGAAAGATACTTTCATACAGTAATCATGTAAAGTTACTTTCCACTGCCCACCCATAGAGGGCGCTACACGCCCAGAATGAAGAGCTGCAGGTTTCCAAAGGGCTGACTGATCTGCAGCTGAGAGGAAGATTCCTCTGAATGAGAGTCCCTCTGCTGCCAACTGGAAGCCAACTTCTGATTGCGCAACTATGTTTTTACAAACATTGAGTTTTTAAAACAGGTTTAAGGATCAGAAGCAACATCTGCAGCTTCAGGGTCGGATGTCAGTTAAAGCTTGGAAACTTTTGCTCCTGGTCTTTCCCTCCATCAGCAGCTGCTCCTGCCTCCCACAGGCCCCGCCTCCTTCTGAGCAAACATGGCCTCCAAACGTCATCATATGGTTAATATAAGCTCCACCTAATGAGGACAGGAAACACTAATATATCTAAGACAACTAAAAAAACTTTTTTTTTTGTTCCGACAAATGGAAAAATAATTTTTATGAATTTTCATCAGAGCACAAGAAAAAAAAAAAAAAAGAAACGGTTCTTTTAAAGTTCACTATTTTCACACCTTTCTCAAACTAATCGTGTTTAAAATAATCATAGTTGTTCTTTTTCCATCTGTTTGCAGGTGATGAAGCAGAATGAAGATGTTTTATCTTTATCTCCTTTTATCTCCTCTTTCTTTCATCTTTTCTCCTTTTTTCCTGTTTTTCTTTCCTGTTCTACTTCCACTGCAGATAACCTGTTAAACTCCCTTCATAATTATAATAATAAAGTTATTTATCTGCATAAATCCAGCGGATCACCATGGCGATGGCCGTACTGCTCCACTGGTGAAAGGAAAACCTGTTGGGCTCTTTTTGACATCAAGACAATTATTCTTATTGCCTCATCGGCAGACAGGACACTGTAAAAAAATTCTAAAAAATAACTTTTGTTTATTTGAACAAATTTAAAGGACATTTCCTGCTTATTAAGCTGTATTTTAATAGACTTCAATAGATTCATTTTTCTGAGACAGTTCATAGTATTTTACTGATCAGAGTTCAGCATCGTTATCCAATCAGGCTGAGAGGACGTTCACCATGCCTGACTGCACAGGAGCAATATGTCCCATTATCTCTCCCAGTATTCCCAGTGCTGGAATATTTCTCACTGGTCTGAACTCCAGATTTTCACATGCGGCGCTCGTTCACCAGCCGCTGCTTCATGATTCCAGTTTGAATCAGAGTCTGAATACCTGGAAAGGAGAAGCTAATGTTAGCTCCACTCAGCTGCTCGTTAGGAGAGTCCGCCTCGTTAGAGGCTGGGATCCAATCAGCTCGTCACACCTGAGCCGCCAATCAAATGAAAACTTCAATATATGTTTTTCTCTGTGTCCCTCAGGTGGTGAACAAAAAACACCAAACGATTCTGTCCCCACGATCAATTCTGACACAACATCCGTCCCCGACTGCTCCACGATGTCCAGTGTCCTCCAACCCAGATGTCCAGTGTCCTCCGTCCCAGATGTCCAGTGTCCTCCGTCCCACCTGTCCAGTGTCCTCCGTCCCAGCTGTCCAGTGTCCTCTGTCCCAGCTGTCCAGTGTCCTCCAACCCAGATGTCCAGTGTCCTCCGTCCCAGATGTCCAGTGTCCTCCGTCCCACCTGTCCAGTGTCCTCCGTCCCAGCTGTCCAGTGTCCTCTGTCCCAGCTGTCCAGTGTCCTCCATCCCAGATGTCCAGTGTCCTCCGTCCCAGATGTCCAGTGTCCTCCGTCCCAGCTGTCCAGTGTCCTCCGTCCCAGCTGTCCAGTGTCCTCTGTCCCAGATGTCCAGTGTCCTCCGTCCCAGATGTCCAGTGTCCTCCGTCCCAGATGTCCAGTGTCCTCCGTCCCAGCTGTCCAGTGTCCTCCGTCCCAGCTGTCCAGTGTCCTCTGTCCCAGATGTCCAGTGTCCTCCAACCCAGCTGTCCAGTGTCCTCCGTCCCAGATGTCCAGTGTCCTCCGTCCCAGCTGTCCAGTGTCCTCCAACCCAGCTGTCCAGTGTCCTCCGTCCCAGATGTCCAGTGTCCTCCAACCCAGCTGTCCAGTGTCCTCTGTCCAAGATGTCCATTCGCACACAGACCATATTTTTAATCCTTGACTCCAGCGTCAGACGCACCTTGATTCCAGGACCAGGTTGAAGCTCAGGTGGAGTGTCTCTGTGTCTCTGTGTCTATGTGTCTCTGTGGCGTCTCCTCTGGGGTCAAACAGTAACTCAGCAGTCTGATCAGAGTCCTTCAGGTTAAAGTTTCCTTAAGCTCCTCCTCCTCCTGCTGCAGAGAGCTTCACTCATGTCCTTAGCGAGCTCCTCCAGCTTCCCGTTGACGAGCCGCCGGTAAACGTCCCAAACTTCTCCCAGTCTGCGTTTTTCACCACATGTTTGTATCGAAGCTGGAGGAGCCGCCGCGGCGCCGGACTGCGAATAACCAAAAACAACAAGAACATTTATTGGAATAATGGATTTACACTAAAAAATCTGATAGTAGAGCAGGTCTGATCTTTATTATTAGATGTTTCTATGGTGATAAAAAGTTTTAAAACCAAACCATAACCACAGAATTAGAAGAAACTGCTTGAATCTTGATAAATTAGGCGGCCATTCCTCTGGAGGCCCAAAACATGGAGTTATATTCTCAGGCAGCAAAACATCTTATCTGCTGGAATTTATCAATTTACTTAAATCTAGGAAAATAAAATTGGATATTCCAAAATAATAGCAACTAACTGTGGACCATGGGAGCTTTAAATCAGGTTTGCCTGGATGTTCAGGGAGGAAATGAAGCCAAGGAGGATGAATCATCAGCAGAGACGGTGTTTCAAACGTGTCATTAGGCACTTGTTGTTGGTTTTGAACCCTTTTGTAAATTATTCCTCCATGACGCAGCAGCAGAAACGGTTGAGCAACAGCAGCTCTTTCAGGGAATCCAGCAAACTGCTCTGCTTTCCGTCTGCAGAGCGACGGATTAAAGCTGCTTCACTGAAACCATGGAAATCATTTTACTGTCGAGTTAAACGAGTTCTGATGAACGGCTTCATATCTCAGGAAGTCGTTTACCTTCATTGATTCTACTGACATCCTTCACTGTAAGCATGCATGTAGCAACAGTGGGAAGAAAAACTGCATTTTAACATGAAGAAACCTTCAGCAGATCCAGAACCAGCGGAGGAGAAGTTAAAAATGACTCAGCTTGTTTTAAAGGCAGAGTCATGGTTTTATGTGGTCAGAAAATTTAGATTTCTCTTATTTCATAAATTGATTTATTCTATTTACTCACTATTAAAGTTTTTCTCTCAGCCTGTTGCACCTGCAGGGCCAAACTATGCCTGAGTGACGGAGTTAGTAGACCAGATAGAGCTTCTTCCATAACAAACCAGATTATTTCTCAGGTTTATTCATTTTACTGTTTAACCAAAGTGTCTGGAATTAGTTTTAACTCTGACTACTTTCCATGATTGTCAGTAAGGAGGAACAAACGCTGCTGGATCAGATCAGAGCTGATTACTTTTCTCTCTTTGCAAAGATTAAAATAAAGAGCCGACTGAGTGAAATCCATCGATCTCCGTTTATTTAACTGGAGCAAAGAGTTGAATACTTTTTTTTCCGCTGCACAGACTAAAACATTTTGATGACACAATTTCAAACAAGTCATAGTTTTTACAAAAACATGAATCCTCTTTTTTCCATGTCCACCTTTAGAGCGACGCCCCTCCTAACGTCACATCAGACTCCTCCTCCTCCCGACCCTGTGACCTTTGCATAGTTATTAGATATAATAATACTCTTTTAGGAGTTACAAGCCAATACATTTATATCATATAATAATAATATAATAATCCACACTTGAAGAGAGATTTATTTGGTGGATGATGAATAACTCTGCTGATAACCAGTCTAATCACTAAACTGGTGAAATCCAGAAATCCAACCTTTATTAAAAGACTAAAGAACCTTGGCGAATAAACAGATATCCGTTATAATCATTTAATAATCATTAATCGGTTAAACCATGGAGTTGAATGATTTACTAATTGACTCAATTTGCAGTTCTACTTACTTTATAAATTCATAATCATTCCTGTGAAATAACTCAACGTATTGCTGTTGTCCCTGGTTGGGCAGCATCTGAGTTTATTTGGTTTAAATGTTCAGTTTTATAGATTTCCCATCCAGCAGTGAAGGTTGGTGATCTAGACTTCAGCTTCTGTCTGTTTCTGAAAGAACTAATTAGTTTGAGCCAAGTGCTGCACAGATTTATTAAAGGGAAACACACCCCCCAACCTGGCGCTCCGTGCATTCTGTTGTTACAGAAAGTCCCTAACGAGCGTGCAGGTGGGGCAGCGGTTAGCGCCACCTGCTAACCACAGTTGCCTTTTGTATCTATGCTTCTTTTTCTATGTCTGCTTCTGTCTCCTTGAACCCCAGTCGGCCTCAGCAGATGGCCGCTCACACTGAGCCTGGTTCTGCTGGAGGTTTCTTCCTGTTCAAAGGGAGTTTTTCCTCTCCACTGTCGCTACAAGCATGCTTAGTGTGAGGGATTGCTGAAGAGTCAATGAGTCGATGCAATCAGCTGGTTTTCCTTAGATAGAAAACTTTGGATCAATCTGACTGGATGATCTGGTTGATCTGGATCTATAAAGTACCTTAAGATGACATGATGTGAATTGGAGCTATAGAAATAAACTGAATAGAATTCTCTGTCTGATGGCTCCAGTTAGAACATCAGTGAACCGACAGCATCAGGGAGAAGGAAGGACGCAGCCGATGGTCTGGGATCAGGTTTCTGGAGACTAAAGCAGGGCTGGGTTTAAAAATTTCCCCAAGGTTTAAAATCTCAGAGCTCTGCTCATCCTATCTAGACTCAGCATCTCTACGTTTCAGCAGTTAAAGTTCAGACATTAATCCAAAGGAGCATTAGGAGAAAAAATTTTCAATCAGGAAGTGGGTTTGTGTTTTAGCAGTACCTGCTTCAGAGCTCTGCTGATAATTTTCACATATTGTGAAATGTTGATCTGAATGTCCTTCAGCGACGGCTGGCAGCCCGAGCTGCTCTGGTTGCTAACATCCTGGATGCCATCCTGAAGCACCTGGAAGTCCTCCAGCACCTCCGCCTGCTTCTCCTGAAGCTTGAAGAAACACATGAGGACACAAAACCGTCAGCGAGGAACCGCGGCGCATGAAGGAACCTGTTCTTCTGATGTTTAAGAGGTCGTTCCTCAGCAGGAGTTCAGAGCTGATTGAAATAGAGAAGATCAGTTTGTCTGCAGAGCTTTACAGGATTTAGCACCATTAGCAGGTTAGCATAGATGTGTTACTTAGCAAAGACTCATTTCTATGACATCAAAGGGCTTTATATTGGCACAAATGAGAACAGCTAATTACAGAGAATTAACTATAAAAGCTCAATAATTATAGAACATGATCAAATCATCGACAACAATGAAATAAATGTTTAATTATGTGTAATAATGTTAACTTAATAACTTCTCTAAACAAATATAGTTTTAATCCACTGAGGCTTCAGAGCATCTACAGTTTTCAGGGAGTTTCTTCCAGATCAGCGGAGCAGATAAACTAGAAGCTGCTTCTCCATCTTTTCTTCTGCTTCTGATCCAGTAAACCTGAAAGGTCTGGCTGTCGATCCCCTGCCGACCAGACTGCCATGTAATCTGGAGCGAAGCCATTCGGAGATTTCAGAAGGATTTTATCGTCTATTCTCTCAGATACAGGGAGCCAGAGGATGTCTGATCTACTTTCTATAGTTCTAGTGAGGACGCAGGCAGCAGCGTCTGGATCAGCTGTCTCATCTACTTTCTATAGTTCTAGTGAGGACGCAGGCAGCAGCATCTGGATCAGCTGTCTGATCTACTTTCTATAGTTCTAGTGAGGACGCAGGCAGCAGCGTCTGGATCAGCTGTCTGATCTACTTTCTATAGTTCTAGTGAGGACGCAGGCAGCAGCGTCTGGATCAGCTGTCTGATCTACTTTCTATAGTTCTAGTGAGATGTTTCCTGCAGATGTTCTTCAGGTGGTAGAAGTTTCGCTGTGTTTGTGTCTCTATAATAGTTTTAGAAAGAAGAGCGCTCTTATCAGAAAACCTTAAAACAACCTTTGAAAATCATGTTTTATTCATTTCATTCAGTGCAAATATGGATCGATTGTTTTCCCTTAAAAAATGAAATCCTTGTTTTACTGCTGTCAGGCTGCCCCTAATTCAGCTCTTAATAAACTACAGCGGTTACCATGACGACGCAGGCGACACCCAGCTAGATCTGGACCAGATCTAGTCCAGATCTAGTCCAGATCTAGTTCAGATCTAGTCCAGATCTGGTCCAGATCTAGTCCAGATCTAGTCCAGATCTAGTCCAGATCTGGTCCAGATCTAGTCCAGATCTAGTCCAGATCTGGTCCAGATCTAGTCCAGATCTAGTCCAGATCTAGTCCAGATCTAGTCCAGATCTAGTCCAGATCTAGTCCAGATCTAGTCCAGATCTAGTTCAGATCTAGTCCAGATCTAGTCCAGATCTAGTCCAGATCTAGTCCAGATCTTGTCCAAATCTAGTCCAGATCTAGTCCAGATCTAGTCCAGATCTAGATCCTGGTTGCTGCTTTCTAGATGGACCAACTGAAGCTGGACTCTAACTTTGAAACGACTTCAGTTTATTTTCGTTCGGCTGAAGAACCTTTCAGATTTCTTCCCTTCATTCATCCGGTGGATCATTTTCACCAGCGTTAGTGATTGACAGCTGGGTGTCGCCTGCGTCGTCATGGTAACCGCTGTAGTTTATTAAGAGCTGAATTAGGGGCAGCCTGACAGCAGTAAAACAAGGATTTCATTTTTTAAGGGAAAACAATCGATCCATATTTGCACTGAATGAAATGAATAAAACATGATTTTCAAAGGTTGTTTTAAGGTTTTCTGATAAGAGCGCTCTTCTTTCTAAAACTATTTTTTATTTCTGTCTGTGCATCATGTTTCCTCAGTAAACCAGGAGTTACAGATTCTGGACACTGATAGAAATAAAGTTTCTCCCGGGAACGCTCCCAGTTTTACCTTGCTGAATCGTGACCTCTGACCCTAAAGTCACTTTATCCTTAAAATAAGTGCATTTTGTCCTGAATGATGCAGGTGAGTGAGATACTTTGTCAACAAGACAATTTACATTTAAAATAAGAAATAGCATTTGCATTGTCTTATTTCAAATGCATTTTATCTAATTATCTTATTTTAAGGGTAAAAATATTCATTCCATTGGCAGATCATATTATTTACCTACTAACATTAAGGGTAAATGCACGTGATTTAAGATATTCCTACTCATTCCTAGATTGTTTTCCAGTGTGATCTGGCTTTCTGTTTTCCCGCCGTCAGTCAGCGATCCGAGCTCCTGTCAAGCAGGAAGAGCTGAAAGTTGGCAGCCAGAACAAGGCAGCCTTTCTAAACTTTCCTTGGAAAAACTCAAGCTCAATCAAAACAGACGCTTCGCTGACAGATGAACTTTCTCACGTTCCGGCTCACCTGTGTGGCTTCGGTTACGCTTCTTCATGTTCACACGTCCCCAATTGATCCCTTTCAGAAGGAAAGCTGACCTTCCATCAGAAGCTCTGCTTATTTATTATTGATTTTCATCTTCTTGAGGCTATGAGTGAGTTTCAGGAAGCAGAACCAGTTTCTGTGGGGTTCTCCTTTCGCTGATCATCAGACCCATGATTTTCACAGTCATTGCTCATCAGTACTTACAGTTTTATTTCTCCAGTGCAGCAGGTTGAGTCCGGTACACGGCACAGGCAGAGGAGAGGGCAGGAGGTCTGGACAGGAACCCTGGATGCATCAACAGGGACGGTTGGTCGCATGAACCGATTTAGGGAAAACTGTTAACGCCGTCGCCTCATGCGGCCTGCACCTCCACAACCTTTAACATACGCGGTAGAAAGGAAGCGGTTTCTCACCATGTCGTTAAAACTCTCCATCAGACTTTGCCTGCTGTCAGTGTTGCACCAGAAGTCCAGAGGTCCTGCGTGGACCTGAGGCAGGTGGGTGACGGCGGCTCCTATCAGCAGCAGCAGCAGTCCTGGAGGATCACATGGAGGATGTGATTGTGAAGCTGCCATCCAGCTTATTGACGCTGCGTCACACTAGAACCTGTCTGCCTTTATTACACATGTTTCAGGGCCCATTATCTGCCTTGAAGTCAGCAGCGTGAAGACGATCACTCATGTTCATGTCGTTATCTCATCCTGCCAAAATTCCTCCCACAGGTCTTGCCTCGACAAGTTGCTTTGTTAAGTTCTCATCCAAAGTGCCCACATATGTTTCCTGCTAAATTTGGCAGTGAGAAGGAAATCAAAGCATTTAGGCATTAAATGGCTTCTGGAAACAGACTAGCACCGTTCTTAGAGTTTACTGGTTTTCTGTCAGACCAGTAAATGATGGGAACCTCCCTTTTTGGCAGCGGCTTTAGTCTTTATCAGCTGAGAGCAAAATAATTAACAGTGGCTAATGTCATCCCTTACATTAGGCAGCACATCCAACCATAGACATCCATGAATAGATACTGAAGGAAGGGAACTTACTGCTATGAGCCATAACCTGTCCTTGGCAGCATGGTGTCACTCAGCTCAGGTCTTTGGGTCTCCATCTGTCCTCCTTTCAGAAGAATCAGCTCCCAGTGAGGAGAAAGTCTTCCTGCTTCTGCCAGGAGGTTTTACTCTGCCAGCGCTCTGAGCGCGTAGGCTGTTTGTTTGATTTGACCCAAAGTTAATGTTTCATCCGGGTTCTCAGAGCAAATAAACCCCAGTGTGCTAACGAGGATGTCTCTCTACCTCGTCATGTTTCAGACTGCAGTCTGTCACTTCCTGCCAATGTGTTTCCAGGCTTTGCTAAGGAAGTGCGTCTTTTGGCTCGCTGACAGAAAGCTGTGACCTGGCAGCAGGAGATTAAGTAGAGATTAAGCTTAGACTTTCCTTTGGGCCTGATGCCAGCATTACGTTAAATAGCAACAAACACGGCACAAGGTTTCCACTCTGCACTTTTTGCTAGAAGTGACTCAGCAAATCCCTCCACAGGGTCGCTGCTGAGAGACAGAGCGTCCATCCTTAAAAACCTCTTAACATCCACCTCATTTAGGGTAATCCTCGCATATTCTGCAAACCCAACTGGAAAAGCTAATAACTGACGAACTGTAAGCCCAAATTACACGTGCAATGCTTTATTGGAAAGCTAACACCCTCTAGTTTCTGAATATATAAATTAATATTGGGTGAGTAGAACACAGACCAAGCTGCATCAGTTCAACCATGACTCAGAGTTGTTGTTTTTTGAACAGCAGTAATAAAGTCATGCTTGAGAAAAGCAGGTTTTATTATATTATATTTGTTCTACATCATGATAACATCAAATGCAGAACATTTCAGACCTCTAGCTGTAACTATATCTATGCTTTGCTTTACTGTTTGACCCATAGAAAAACACTGAAGCATTTTGATGACCACAAAACATTTATTCATCCTTTATTCATCGTCTGGCGAAGGTGATTTCTCACAGATTTAATAATCCAAAGAAGACAACGGAAGCAAAAATCCAACAAAATATGAAAATCCAGAAAAACTGACATGAAGGGAAATAAATGACGATGAGGCAGCAAAGAGAGGCTGAACAGGAGGTGTATATATGGGAGACAGAAACAAAGAGCAGGCTAATCAGCAGATTGGGAGCAGGTGTGAACAGAGGAGTCTAGAAGGGAGCGAGGAGAAGGAGACTGAAACAAGAGAGACTTAACTGAAACCAACAGCATCTGCATCACTTTGTGGAGCACAAAGTTTATGTAGAATTAAGTAACTTCAGCATGAGCGCTTTACCATTTCATCACCATTTCAGCAGTAAATACTGGAATTCTAAACTACAAAAATACAGATGAGAGATAAGATAGCACGTGGTCTGCATTGGAATGAAGAAACAATACATTCCACTGTAAAATGGTGACTGCTCAAAGAGGTTTGTTTCATCTTCCAGGGTTTGTAGTTTGTCTGGATTTGTCATTCCACAAACTGCCACCAGGTGGAGAAAGATTCAGCGTCATGCTGTTAACATGCAGGCAATATAAAATGACAAACAGCAGTGCGGTATCCCATGAGTAAAAGGAAAGTTTTAAAGTAACACGTAAACTTAAGTAGTGCTTTGGGTAAATGGACTGCTGTCAATGAAAGTCATGATACTTTGATCACTTCTCTATCATTGCCTGTTTTCTCCTTGAGGTGAAGTACTTGTCATGGTCTTGGTTCTGCTGTTCTTTACTTTGCTCCTTGTTTTCTAGATTTATTGGTTTAATTCCAGTTTTGTTGTATTTCTAGATTTATATTAGTTCTCATGTTTTTCTGTTGTCCCCTTTTGCCCTCTTGTGTGTGTATGTTCCTTTCCCCTTGGCTCCCTCGTTGTCTCCTCTCACACCTGTTCCTTGTCTGCTCGTTAGCCCTCCCTTTGTCTCTCTCTCCTATATATGCTCTCCCTCTGCTCTCACTCTTTGTTGGTTCCTTGTCTTTGCTGTCCTCCCATGCTGTTGTCCACGTTCCTCGTCTCTCCCTGGCTCCCCGTGTTTGGTTTTCCCCAGATGTCTCCACTGTTCTGGTTTGCTTGATTATTAGTTGGATTTTTGCATTCCTGCCTTTGTTGCTGTTTTTGCCCCATTAAACTACCCAGAAATCTCCTCAGCCTGTCTGCCTCTGCATTTGGGTCCTCCAAACCTCAACCAAACCCTGACAGTAGGAACCAACCACAATGGACCCAGCAGAGCCCAGTCTGGACACCCTAAGGGACTTTTTCCTCAATCTAGGCAATACTCTGGACTCAATATCCAACCTTACACCTCCTTGGAAGAGGGTGAGTGCAACTAGCCAACTTAAACAGATTCTCCTCTCAAACTCCACACTCATTTCTCCCCCAGTATTATCTGAACTGTTTGAAGAGTTGGAGTGGAACTACCAAGCAGCCAGCGCCCAGCTCCTCAGCAGACCTCCACCACCCAAACCATCTCTTCATCTCCTCCCTACCCTGCAGTCAATCGCCTCCGGTCCAGTTCCACCACCTTCACCAGCTGTTGGTCCCCCCATGCCGTCTGCCTCCTCCAGGCGTAAGCGCCGCCGGGGGAAGAAATCCACTCCCCCTCCGGCGGGTCAGCCTGACGCCTCCACTCCCCCTCCGGCGGGTCAGCCTGACGCCTCCACTCCCCCTCCGGCGGGTCAGCCTGACGCCTCCACTCCCCCTCCGGCGGGTCAGCCTGACGCCACCACTCCTTCACCGGCGGGTCAGCCTCACGCCACCACTCCTTCACCGGCGGGTCAGCCTCACGCCACCACTCCTTCACCGGCGGGTCAGCCTCACGCCTCCACTCCCTCTCCGGCGGGTCAGCCTGACGCCTCCACTCCCATGGGTCAGCCAGCTGCCAGTCTTAGCTCCCCTCATAACCAGGTCAGTTTCTCCCTAAATCTCAGTCGTCACCTCCATGACCAACAGCTAGCCCCATCCTTAAAGAAACTCATTATTACACCCCCTACAGTCAGTGCTCCCCATATTGAGGAGTCTCAATTATGGACCTTCTTTTATGGGGAGAGGGAAGATCTTTTCCTTTCCCTGCCACCTCCATCAGCTCCATTGCCCAGTAGAGGGCCAGATTCCCTAGCTCCAGTGCCCAGTAGAGGGCCAGATTCCCTAGCTCCAGTGCCCAGTAGAGGGCCAGATTCCCTAGCTCCAGTGACCAGTAGAGGGCCAGATTCCCTAGCTCCAGTGCCCAGTAGAGGGCCAGATTCCCTAGCTCCAGTGCCCAGTAGAGGGCCAGATTCCCTAGCTCCAGTGCCCAGTAGAGGGCCAGATTCCCTAGCTCCAGTGCCCAGTAGAGGGCCAGATTCCCTAGCTCCAGTGCCCAGTAGAGGGCCAGATTCCCTAGCTCCAGTGCCCAGTAGAGGGCCAGATTCCCTAGCTCCAGTGCCCAGTAGAGGGCCAGATTCCCTAGCTCCAGTGCCCAGTAGAGGGCCAGATTCCCTAGCTCCAGTGCCCAGTAGAGGGCCAGATTCCCTAGCTCCAGTGCCCAGTAGAGGGCCAGATTCCCTAGCTCCAGTGCCCAGTAGAGGGCCAGATTCCCTAGCTCCAGTGCCCAGTAGAGGGCCAGATTCCCTAGCTCCAGTGCCCAGTAGAGGGCCAGATTCCCTAGCTCCAGTGCCCAGTAGAGGGCCAGATTCCCTAGCTCCAGTGCCCAGTAGAGGGCCAGATTCCCTAGCTCCAGTGCCCAGTAGAGGGCCAGATTCCCTAGCTCCAGTGCCCAGTAGAGGGCCAGTTTCCCTAGCTCCAGAGCCCATTAGAGGGCCAGTTTCCCTAGCTCCAGAGCCCATTAGAGGGCCAGTTTCCCTAGCTCCAGAGCCCATTAGAGGGCCAGTTTCCCTAGCTCCAGAGCCCATTAGAGGGCCAGTTTCCCTAGCTCCAGAGCCCATTAGAGGGCCAGTTTCCCTAGCTCCAGAGCCCATTAGAGGGCCAGTTTCCCTAGCTCCAGAGCCCAGTAGAGGGCCAGTTTCCCTAGCTCCAGAGGCCAGTAGAGGGCCAGTTTCCCTAGCTCCAGAGTCCAGTAGAGGGCCAGTTTCCCTAGCTCCAGAGTCCAGTAGAGGGCCAGTTTCCCTAGCTCCAGTCCCCCTTAGCGGTCCTGTTTCCCTAGCTCCAGTCCCCCTTAGCGGTCCTGTTTCCCTAGCTCCAGTCCCCGTTAGCGGTCCTGTTTCCCTAGCTCCAGTCCCCGTTAGCGGTCCTGTTTCCCTAGCTCCAGTCCCCATTAGCGGTCCTGTTTCCATAGCTCCAGCTTCCCCAGTGCCCATTAGCGGGGCAGCTTCCCCAGTGCCTGAGCCCATTAGCGGGGCAGCTTCCCCAGTGCCTGAGCCCATTAGCGGTCCAGCTTCCCCAGTGCCCATTAGCGGGACAGCTTCCCCAGTGCCTGAGTCCATTAGCGGGGCAGCTTCCCCAGTGCCTGAGCCCATTAGCGGGCCGTTTTGCCTAGCACCAGAGACTCCTGAGCCCATTAGCGGGCCGTTTAGCCTAGCGCCAGAGACTCCTGTGGCCATTAGCGCGCCGTTTAACCTAGCGCCAGAGACTCCTGTGGCGATTAGCGGGCCGTTTAGCCTAGCGCCAGAGACTCCTGTGGCCATTAGCGCGCCGTTTAACCTAGCGCCAGAGACTCCTGTGGCCATTAGCGGGCCGTTTAGCCTAGCGCCAGAGACTCCTGTGGCCATTAGCGCGCCGTTTAACCTAGCGCCAGAGACTCCTGTGGCGATTAGCGGGCCGTTTAGCCTAGCGCCTGGGACCCCTGAGCCCGCTCAGAGTCATCCTGATATCCCTGAGCACACAAGTAAAAGGCTCTCTAAAATAAAGCTCAGCGGGCGCTCCAAGCCTCCACGGCCCCTCAGCGGGCGCTCCAAGCCTCCACGGCCCCTCAGCGGGCGCTCCAAGCCTCCACGGCCCCTCAGCGGGCGCTCCAAGCCTCCGCGGCCCCTCAGCGGGCGCTCCAAGCCTCCGCGGCCCCTCAGCGGGCGCTCCAAGCCCCCTCTGAGGCTGTTCCTGTGCCGCAGTCGGCGGCCCCCTCTGTGGCTGTTCCTGTGCCGCAGTCGGCGGCCCCCTCTGTGGCTGTTCCTGTGCCGCAGTCGGCGGCCCCCTCTGAGGCTGTTCCTGTGCCGCAGTCGGCGTCCCCCAAGGTTCCTGCAGCTGCGTCTGAGACGGCGTCCCCCAAGGTTCCTGCAGCTGCGTCTGAGACGGCGTCCCCCAAGGTTCCTGCAGCTGCGTCTGAGACGGCGTCCCCCAAGGTTCCTGCAGCTGCGTC